CTATGTTGAAGAAAGAGAGAACTTGAGAGGAAAATACATTTCTGTCCAATGTTGATCTAGAAAAGTGAGGCGTTATATACGTAGTTCAAATGAAATGTTTTAAATGCTCTAATTAGTCTACCACTGATTTTTAGTGAGAGTCACTCTCAATTGTCTCTGTTTCACTCTCTGGAACAACTGGTGGTGGTGGCTGAATAAGGGTTAGTTTCCAACTTGGAGGCTACTCATTATTCCCAACATTTAAAGGATGTGTTACAGTCTCTGCACTCTTCCTATTCCTTCATGTTTCTCCATTCACATCCTACGTCTTCTTGCATAATTATGAGATAACCAGGAAAAGATAATTGTATGTACTAATAAATTATTAGTATTAGTAATAGCACTAGCATGCTTCTTACAACCAACCAAAACAAGAAGTAAGAAGAGCCGACAATTTGAATGAGAAAACTGAAGTTTATTCAAGGTCACCTTACTAGTAAGAGGCTAAGAGAACTACAAAACAATTTCTATCTCCAAGTCTACCGCTCTTTCTTCTACTTGTGCTGTTGTTATAATCTGAGTAAATTAGGCAGACTAAATTTACTATGAGTTGCCAAATAATTAAAAATAAAACACTGGAATTGACTGGAGGATGAAGGGTTTATCATCCGATTCAATTCCCATGACAACTCAGAAACATAAACTACTAAAAACTCCCTGCAAATATCTCTTTTTAAATATTGTTGATTTTTCTATGTAAATTGATTGTTGGGGAAAAAATCTTATTCTAGTAGAAACTAAACTCTTCTAGAATTCAGGCTGGGCACAGTGGCTCATAACTGTAATCTCAGCACTATGGGAAGCTGAAGAGTGAGGATCACTTGAAGCCAGGACTTTGAGACAAGCCTGGGCAACAGAGCAAAACCCACATCTCCACATATATGTAGATATATATGTATACACACATATATATACATATACACATATGTGTATATATGTAGATTACGTTGTATAAACAATAGAATCCAAGTATGATTAACATTCTTCAAACTATCCATTGACTATTACAATTTTAAATTATAATACTTTTTAAAATTTATCTCTTCAAAGAGTAAAACCCATAACTTTTGTCTCTAACTCCCTTGAAATCCCTAGGGTTATTTTAGGGTTTTGGGTGTGTGTGTGTGTGTGTGTGTGTGTGTGTGTGTGTGTGTGTATGTGTATGTGTGTATATATGTATGTATTATATACACAATATATGTAGTATAGTATATTACAAAAAGTACGGGATGTGTGTGTATATATATATTTATGTATGTGTGTGTGTATATGTGTATACAAAAAGTATATATGTGTGTGTATATATACATATGTATACATATGTGTGTATATGTATACAAAAAGCATATGTATGTGTGTGTAGATATATACACACATATATATACACACAGGTACTTTTTGTATACACACATATTTACAAAAAGTATGGGTGTGTGTGTATATATGTGTATGTACATATGTGTGTGTATACATGTGTATATGTGCGTGTATACATATGTATATGTGTGTATATATGTGTATATATGCATGTATATATGTGTATATATGTATATATGTGTATATATATATATATATACACAAAAGCATGGGTATGTGTGTATATATATGTGTATGTGTGTGTGTATATATGTGTATATATGTGTGTATATATGTACATATACATATATGTGTGTGTATACACATACTAGACTATACACATACACATACATATATACACACACATATACACACATATACATCTGTGTACACATATGTATATATGTACACACATACATCTGTGTACACATATATACATATGTGTATATATGTGTGTATATGTGTATATATGTGTGTGTATATATATATGCACATATGTGTATGTGTATATATATATACACATATATACACACACATACCCATGCTTTTTGTAATTTACTATACTACATATATTGTATATATAAACATATATATGTAGTATCTATGTATTATAATACATATATAATTTAATCAATTCTAAATAACTCACTTGATAATCCAGTTTATATCAAAATACAGAGGTATCTGATTTGTTAAGTGACCTAGTCCTATAGGCAATTAAACCTGAAGGTTTAGTCAAATAATACATACTCACTGAGTCAGCTTACTTCCATGGGTTTACAGTCTAAGGAACCAATCTGGCTTTTAAAACAATAAGCATGAGTCTGAGGAGTACTAAGAAGGAGCCATAAAGGACATATACTTTTAAGGCAAATTCCTGAAGAGAAAGAACAAGAATAAATGTAACTAAAAAGAAAAAAAAAATTCTAAGAAAATCTGATCTGATTGGAAGGGGGTAATTATTTCTAGGCCTTATGTGAATATTAAATATTTATATATATATATATATGTGATTTTCAATCACTGTTTCTTCTATGCAGGAGGGCGAAGCTGGTAGACACACAAAGATGGGGTACTGGGTTGTCTTGTTCTAAACTTTAAAATCTTCTGCTCTGATCTAGAAGAAAAAACGAGAGAGGGATGCCTACCAGAGTTATGGCAGTAACGGAAGCTTACAAGGATGGATAGTGACTCCAAATAAAATCACTGGACCAAGCAAAAGTAACTCTAGGGATTTCAAGGGAGTGAGAGCAAAGCGTTACGGTTTTGCTCTTTGAAGAGATAAATTTTAAAAAGAATCGTAATTTAAAATTGTAATAGTCAACTGAGAGTTTGAAGAATGTTAATCATACTTGGATTCTATTGTTTATATCATAAAAGCTACCATTTTTTTCACTTAACATGAACTTTGTTTTTTTTTTTCTTTTTTTCAAGACAAAGTCTCACTCTGTCACCCAGGCTGGAGTGCAATAGCACGATCTGCTCACAGCAACCTCCACCTCCCAGGCTCAAACAGTTCTTCTGTCTCAGCCTCCTGAGTAGCTGGGACCACAGGTGCATGCCACCACACCTGGCTAAATTTCTGTATTTTTAGTAGAGACAGGATTTCACCATGATGCCTAAGTTGGTCTTAAATTCCTAAGCTCAGGTAATCCACCTGCCTTGGCCTCTCAAAGTGCTGGGATTACAGGTGTTGAGCCACCGTGCCCGGCCAACACGAACATTTAACCTGTGTAACTAAAAAGTCACCTAGAATATCACTTTTAATGACTGCATCCATCTAGGGACGTGCCATAATTAACCAATCCATTATTATTGTATATTTCTATTGTTTTCATTTTTCCTATTATAAATAAGGTTGAGATGAATATACTTGCAGGTAAATCTTTGTGTATTCAAATATTTTGAGTATTTGTGTGTAATTTATTTTGATTAAAATTATTGCAGCAAAAAAATAAGATATACTGATAGAGGGATCAACATCTAATAAAGCAAGCACAGCAAAATGTTAATGGTAGACTTTAGGTGGTAAGCATATAGATATTCACTGCAAAATTCTTTCAACTTTTCCATATGTTTCAAATTTATTGGAAAATGTTAGAAATGAAAAATGTTGAAAAAAATTATATTTTATGAGGTTAAATTCCTAGAATTGGAATAGATTATTCATAGTATGTGCACATCTCTAAACTTTGTGAAGTTAAAACATCAACCAGAAAGTGTCAGTTCCCTCACACTGTCAACACCACTTTTTAGTGCTTTTCAAATCTCTGCCAACTTGTTAGGCGAAAACTAGTAATTCATTTTTAAAATCATCATTTCTATGTTAATTTAAACTTTTTTTAAGTTAATATATAATGAATTGAAAAGCTTCCTAATATGCTTGGCTTCAGATTTGATGTCGGTTATTGGAACCACAAAGCAGTAATCAAGATTCAAGCACCCATCTGGGGGTACTTAGCTTATTACCAAGCACAATACTCTCAAGAATAACTTCCAAACCAAATTATAAAGGTGAAAGTTACCTTCAGGCTAGCATCACTTTCGGGCAAGGAGACTGACATCTGATTGCCAAATGGTCCTGATTTAACATGTTCTGAGAAAGAGCTCTTCCTGGACAAAAAAAAAAGTCACCTCTTTTTTTCCCAGGATGCTCAGAATAAAAGCACTAGTGATTTCTTCTTTTGTGCTGAAATAATTTGGTCATCACCAATTCTCTTTCAAAATTCAAGTATTTTATTTCAATATGAGTACCATATAATTGTGGTACTTCCACAGGATAGAATGCAAAGAAGTCATTAAAAAGAACTATGGAATTCTGCATTTACGGACATGGAAAGATGTCCATGATATACCTGTTCATTGCAAACAACAACAACAAATAAAACAAGTACATATGTGTGTGTGTATGATAGAAATACGTGAAAGGATACTTACTAAAATGTTAACAGTGGTAACTTATTGAAGGACATATGGGACATTTTAAAATCCTTTTTATGTATTTCTCCATTATTTATTTTTAAAATGGACATACACAATTTTTTTACAAGAAATACAATAAGGCTATTTGCATTTCAATAAAAAGAAAATTGAAAATATCTCAGAAAACCACTCAATCATTAGTACCATAATAAAATTTGGTTCAGCAAGATTTTTAATTCAAGGTTAAAGTCCCCTAAGGAATAAGACCCAGATCCAGCATATTTTCAAGGGAAAAAGGGATATAGGCAGAGCAGGCAAAGAGGTCTCCAATCAAGTATTAAGCAGCCTGAGGCTAGGGCTGTATTATCTTCAGGGAATTTTACTTGGGAAAAAAAAATCAATAGACAAAAGAAGGCATCTGTGATATTCAGATCCAACAGAAAACAAACGAATGATGGCTCACTACCATCTGGATAGAGTCGGAGTGGATCTTACATAACTTTACCACAATTTTTGCTTTCAGTATTACAAAGGAAAATATCACCTTCTTCCCCTACAATAGGCCTAGAATCCAATGGGAAGAAGTTTAAAGTTTTTAAAATATTTACTTAACAAGAATTAAATGTTTAAATGTATCCTTTACAGAGACTGAAAAGAAGAACACGATACATTAAACTACTCACCTCCATGGGAAGACATGTCTGTCCATGAGTAGATGTCCCTGGATGTGACACAGCAGGCTCATTTTTAATTTGAAAGTGTATTTTGCACATGTAGCCATCAGAACAGTCCTGTGTTTCATCACCAAAAAATATATAATAAAACCCCAATTATTTTAAGAATTCATCATTTTAAGAACCACTTCCCATAAGTTCCAAACTGATCAGTGAAAAACTAAATGTATCAAATGAGATGAGACTATATAAAGAGACTAGTCCAACATCCTGCACATAGTAGGTCTCAATAAATGTGTGTTTTATTCTCCTACCTTTCTTATTTATTAAAGATGTTTCCCCCCTCCTAGATTAAACCTTCCCCTTTTTTTCCTGACTAGTCCATAGCACCAAGATCACAGAACAAAACTTAAGCTTATAGAAATAGCTTGTCACATAATTAATATTGATTTTCATGGCATACACATAAAGAACAATTTTAGGACCTGCAACAGATCTCAAAGCTGGAAGAGAGCTTCCATTTCAATTACTTTCTCAAGGCAAGATCTCTATGAAAATATCCTAGAAAGGTAATTATGCATCTCAGTATCTGCCTGTATACCTCTAGGAACCTGCACTTGCTACTCCTTTACACAGCAGCCACTTCCTTTGGTGCACCGTACATTAAGAAAAGTTTTGTCCCATATTTCACTTCCTTTAACTTAAACTTACTTAGTTCTGCCCTCTGAAGTCTAATCTAGCTGTGGCCAGTTCCGTTTTGTTGTTGTTGTTGTTGTTGTTGTTGTTGTTGTTGTTGTTGTTGTTTTGAGACGGAGTTTCCCTCTTGTTACCCAGGCTGGAGTACAATGGCACGATCTCAGCTCACCGCAATCTCCGCCTCCTGGGTTCAAGCAATTCTCCTACCTCAGCCTCCCAAGTAGCTGGGACTACAAGTGTGCGCCACCATGCCCAGCTAATTTTTGTATTTTTAGTAGAGACGGGGTTTCACCATGTTGACCAGGATGGTCTCGAGCTCTTGACCTCGTGATCCACCTGCCTTGGACTCCCAAAGCGCTGGGAATACAGGCGTGAGCCACAGCGCCAGGCCCAGTTCCGTTTTTTTTTTTTTTTAAGATAACACTTGTTTGAATTCAATAAAGTCATGTATAAGAATATAATACCTCCCCAAGCACAAACATATATGCCAATAAATACTAATTCCCCACCAAATTGTCACATCAACATTTACATTTTAACAGAATTAAAATAATACTAAGGACTAAGGGGTTACTTAATCTTCCTACAAGAAGAGGGAAATGTGGATGCAGTGACATAAACAGGAAAAAAGCCATGTGAAGATAAAGACTGGAGAGGTCCATCTACAAGCTGAAGAACGCTAAGGATTGCCATCAGCCACTGGAAACTAGAAGCAGTAAGGAATGCTCCTTCCCTGGAGCCTTTGCTGGGAGCAGGTCCCTGCCAACATCTTGATTTCAGACTTTTAACCTCCAGAACTGTGAGACAATAAATTTCTGTTACTTTAAGTCTTCCAGCTTGTGGTATTCCATTATGACGTTCCTAGGAAACTAAAACAAGAACTCTATTTTTTTTAAGAGACTTGGCACCACCTTAACAATGCCTCCCAGTAAGTTATGCTGACAAACTGCCAGCCCTCACTCAGGTGGCTGCACTGGTTGTTTGCTGTCAGCACTAGTTTTGATTGGTTGGACCCAGCTCATTCTGATTGGTTGATGCCTCTGTCACAGGTTGTTAAATATTTTTAATAACATTCCTGCCTGTAAAGTAGACCTACAGATATCCAATACTGTAATTTTTAATTATTTCATTAAGGATATCCATTGGGTAGATGGAATTACTGTTTTAAATTCCAGCTCTACACTATCTGACCACAAAGCAGACCCTGTGATGGTCTTCTACCATTGAAACCTTTGTATTCAGAAAAATGTAAATTTAACATCGGCTTAAACTGAGAAACATATATGTACTTACTGTTGACATTGCCACTGTTTCACATCAAACATCTATTCTTCCTTCTTTTGGAGCAGTAGTCATTGCTCTTTTAAGGAACCATTCCCTGATTTTAAAGGCAATGGTTCCTTAGAGGAGCATTGGCTACTGTTCCTCTAATTACAGCCCCAGGGATAGCCACAGGACTCCAATCTTGCCAATCAGTACTGCTGGCCCCAGAGACTCTGAAGGACAAATTTCTACAATCACAGCCAATGGGATAAAATTCAGGATTTGGTTTGGGGAGTTTGGGAAAGGTGGCTGTTCTCTTTTCCACTAGGTTTGAACCAGACAGACCAAAAATTAAAATAAAACAGACCAACTGGCAGCCACCAGGTAATTAAACAAAGTCTGCTTTGCAACTCAGAGGAAAGCAAGACCATGAGATGCAAAGAAACCAGATTCTGACTAGGTTATTTACACCAGCCATATCTAAAACTAGTTCTACCTCAATTATTCAAGTACATGGCCCCAAAAAGTCCCTTCTTGGCTTCACCCAATAGGTTGGGTTTTATGTCACTTGCAACCAAAATAATTTTGCTATTAAGTAACATAAATTGTATTTAATAGTTTAAAACAGAAGATTCCTATTGTATCATCATCATTGTGATAATCAATAGTTGATTATATAAAAGATTTACCACACACAGTTATGCATCACCTAATGGCAGGAATACCTTTTGAGAAACAAGTAATTGAGCTATTCTGTCATTGTACAAACATCATAGACTTGTGCTTACACAAACCTGAATGGTATAGCCTCCTACATACCTAGGCTATATGACATAGTTGCTTGCTCCTAGGCTGCAAACCTGTACAGCATGTTACTGTACTAATTGCAGACAATTGTAACAAAATGATAAGAATTTGTGTATCTAAGCATGTTTGAACAAAGAAAAGGTACTGTAAAAATGCAGTATTATAATCTTATGGGAACACTGTATATGTGGTCTGTCCTTGACCGAAATGTTATTATGCAGCATGACTATACAGTAAAACTATAATAGCATGTGTTTGTGAGAAAAATTACTCAAAGTCTGCAATTTCAAAATGATCTAGCCATAGAGACAAAAACCAAAACTCTCAGGATATTCTGAGAACACAAAGCTGCATTGTGTGTACTAAATATAACTCATTAAACGAGGGTAACTGCTCTATTTTGTATTTTTCTATACCTGAGCCCTGGTCATACAACCTCCACTTAAGGGAACATAACGTTTAGTAAAATTCTAATTATAATGCAAAATACATCTCATTTGACATTAAAAGACATGAGTCAAAAATTCCTGTGCACCTATGTTATAAAATCTAAATAAATTATCTCGTCTCTTTCCCAATGAGTTAAGATAAAGAGATATGTCACTTTCAATATTACTTATAATGTGAGGAATTTTTACTCACATTTTAGGTAATTTCTAATAGCATTTATTATTATCTATAGGGAAGTACACTGGGTTTTTGCTCTATATTTGGTAGTAGTGATTTTTTTTTCAGTATCAATCTTTTCAGTCAAGATGAGCCTTGAAAAATTAAATATAGAGTTTTTTGGATTTTGATTTCCCTTTAAACACTTCCACAAAACTGGGTCTTTCTCCTACTTTGTTTTAATTTAAGGCAGAAAAATATGTTTTGTTCTTCTCTGTTAAAGATGTTTTTTTAGAGACAAACACAAAAGCATGAGAACCGCCACTCTCTGTCAGCCCTGTAGTCCATCTAGCCCAGTAAACGATGTTAACTCAAATCCCTGCTTGGCAATGAAGTTTTCCAGACCATTCCAATTAACACTCCTCTCTTGCTTTCCTGCATCCTTTTTGTACTTATCATAGCTTACACTTCAACATTTAACTCTTCGTTAATTTTTAAACATTTGTTAGTTTTATTTCTCCCAATAGATCATAAGCTCAGGGCCTAGGCCCCCAGCCTCTAAGGGATGACAAGATCTTTATAGGAACCAGATTCCGTTCCACATAAAAACCTGATGCAGATAGTGTTTGAAAACACCCTGGACAAGCACATGAGGATGTAATAACAAAGGGAAGCTTCCAGTTTATCCAATTCAAGCCTCTCATTTTAGAGATAAGAGGGTGAAGGAGTAAAGCACTTCTAAGAAACTTGTCTTACAGTTAATTAGTTGGAGGCAGAGCAGGAAGTGGAGAAAGTGGATCTCTTAACCTGAGTATGCTTTCTAGCACACTAAGCAAATTCTGCCAGAGAGCAGGACCATGGCTTACTGACTCTCATGGACTGGTGTGGGCCAGTGCTTTGCACTTTAAATAACAAACTCAAGCCACTCACGTGTGATCTGGGGACCAGCAGCCACAGCATAAGCTGCAAGCTTATTAGACAGACATGCAGAATCTCAAGCTCCACGCCAGACTTCCTGATTCTGTATTTATAATGTGATCCCCAGGTGATTTGTATGCACATTTTGGAAGTACTGAGGCATGTACTGCAATCCCTGACTCAAAGAGACAGCAAACTAACTGCATTAACAATGGCTTGCAATTGGAGCTACACATTAGACCCCCCTGGGGAGTTTTCAAAATGTTGTTACTGGGGTCTCACCTCAGACCAATTAAGTCAGAATCTACCTAGCAGATTCTAGCACAGCAGCCAAACTTGAGAACCACAGCACTCAATTCCTTGGAGCCCCACTTTTGAACTCAATGAACACAGTCAATCAGGTAATCTGCAGTTACCTCAGGACAAAAGTCCACAAACAACTCAAGATCTTCATGAACACCATAGCTCATCTGGAGCTCTCCAAATGCTAAAATCACCTCTATCAATGCTGTCCTCTTGGAGGCTTTTCTATGCTGAGACTGTCTTTACCACTACCTCAAAAACTACTTTCTGGCAACTTGGCCAGTCTTGGCCTGGCCCTCTGAAACTTTAGTCTTGTAACTTAAAATTGTTCCATGTCAAACCACACTTCACCCATTAGGACTCCTTGCTGTCCATTCACCACAAAACATGTTGCTTCACTCTATCACTATAGAAGAAAAATTAATAAGAAATGTCCAGCTGTTGTATCGCAGAAAACACTAATTAAAAAGACAATACTTTCTCACAGCCAAAACTCTTCCAGTATCTAAATAGAACGTCCTTCA